ATCTAGCGAAAAAAGGTAAAAGAATATTTCTGATTTCTCATATCCATATCAGTTCTACATTCACCATCCTGATCATCATTGTAATCATCAGATAATTCCATTAAACCATTCCTATAGGCAAAGAGACTGACCTGGCAGATGCTGCATTTGGCATCTTCTTTGTGGTCACAAGGACTTTTGGTGATAGATCCATAACTTAAAGGTTTCATCTGATAGATGCTTGTTTTCAAGCACTTTGATATTGCTTCTTCTGTGAGAGCAGTGCTTACTGTACCAATCCGTTCTTCTAACGCTAATAGTTCCTGTATATATTCGAAAGAAAGACAAACGGTAAAGATACTATGTCACAAAACGTAAATGCGGGTTTGAAAGATGTAAAGACAAACCTCATATGACATGTTATCAATGTCAAGTCTCATGTCTCGGTGTTGGTCATGGAAGCTTAGTCCACCGAGAAGTAAACCTGTCTCCATGATAAGCAGTTCCTGTTAAAGGAGAGGAAATTATGAGTAACAACATATATCACAGTATTCGAAACTAAAAACATGCCTTAAATTTAACCTCGTAGTTAAGCTCAATATCTTGTTCGATCCTATCAAGTTCTGGCATAATCTGCAAAAGCATTCCGGAAAGAGAAGACACCAAAAGTTAAATGGTGTTAAGGGCATTCTCGTAAGCAGTATTTGATGATGCTCATACAAGATGTGAAGTTGTAGAGTAACAGGCAATAGTTACCTCAGAGATACCATCTAAAGTGTAACTGCGAAAACTGTCTTGACTCGATAAGGAACCAGAGAAACCAAATTCTGGAAAACCAGAGAACAACTCCAAAGAGACAGGAGAATTGAGATTGTTTGAAGTTTCAGTCTGAGACATTTCTGTTGTCGTAATAGAAGGTAAACCACCATTTCTACCACTCCCTCGGTTTGAGAATCTAATGCGACTATTATTTCTATTTACCAATCTCTGATTCTCAACTGAAGCAACATCGTTGTCATCATTCAAAATGCAGTGTCTAGCTCGTCTACTATCGGAAACAGAACCTCTTGGGGTAAAACCACGACGTCTCTCTTCAGCTGGTGGTTCTGTCACATTTTTACCCCTAGCTGAGGAGCTAGAACTGCTTTCTCCATGAACTTTCCTCTTATTGAATGTATCTACCTTCCGGCTTAATCTTTTGTCCAATCCAAAACCACTTGGTATGACACCGGACAGCAACGGGCTGCATCCTCGGTTTGCAGGTGTTGCCTGGCCAGAAGGACCAGGACGAAACTCTGGCTTGCTCAACCCAAATCTCTGCCTAAAACCTTTCTTGATTCTCGAGCTTGACGACAAGTTTGAGGACCCCTCTTCGGGTGTTTTAACTTTTCCATAAATAACCTTATTGTTGTTAACTCTTCTTTTATCTCTTCCATGAGAAACTTCCAAGATTTCTGTCTCTGCCTCGTCCTCACTACCTCTGCTGCTCTCTGAAGAATCCATGGTTATCTGAGACAATGGTTGCTTCTCCCTTTTCAAAGAAGAAGAGCTAGAGCCACAAATCTTAGAGGAAGTACCAATGACTTCCTTCCCGTTTGGCGAAGAGCGGTACGAAGACAAGACTGATTTCTCTTTCTTATCTGAAGAGCCAACAAACCGAGTAAACTTCATAGATTTGTTCTCATCACTGCAAATAGGAACCTTGCAACTATTGCTGTTAAATCTATCTCTCAAAACAACACCAACCCCTTTCCTAGAGTCAGGTCGCGCCTCAATGGCTCGTTTCCCCGACCACCGATCCATGAACTTTTCAAATGGATGCAAAAACCTGTAACAAAGATACCCTTTATCTTAGTTCATCAGACGGGGAAAACTCTTGAAGAAAAACTACTCATCTGGACTAAGTTCCCAAAGAAACAGAACGAATCGATTAAAGACTGAACCAAAAAAACGAGCAAAAGATCAATACATGGAATTCAGATTCATATTCAATAATTTCCCACCAGACATATTCAATAAAACTGAAACCTTTTCATAAATTGATCCAAAGGATGTCTCTTTCCACTGCCCAATATAGAATCATCTTTACAACGAGCTCATATAAAATTTCTATGAACATGAAGAGAAACAATCCTGAACTAATTTTAGTTTATCTTCCATGTTTTTTGTCTTTTCATAAGTGATTCAAAGGAAACAAAGCAGAACATGATTTTTTTTTCCCCCACCTTGTCCAAACAAGAGAGAGTTACACAATCGATTCAGAATCAAAGAACAGTAACATCATTCATTTCCAAAATATCAGAAACAGAGAAGTCAATTTGACCGATAAAACATCAGATTTTTCATAAAGAAAAACATAGTTTTACAAAGGAAAAGGAAGAAACTTTTAGAACCAAAGCTCGATTACCTTTCGATTTTGCCTCCTA